AGACAGCCTCTAAGGTCCATTCCAGATACAGATCTAATGATCCCATGATTTATGTTCCTAACAACCTGGGGGGGAGGGGGGGAGAGAGATGCCTTATCCCCACTTGTCTTTTGACCAGGCCTGTAATTTCATAGTTTGGGGATCTCACAGTAAGGATACCCCCCCCCCCATCAGTAAGATCCTTGGGGGCAGGGACTGTCTTTTTCCTCTTTTTGTATCCCTGACACTTAGCACAGTGCCTGGCACATAGTAGGTGCTTAATAAATGTTTAGTGATTGATCGTTCAGCAATTTGTAATAGTCTTGGAGAGTCTCACTTGGAAAAGTGAAATACCCAGGGTCCCATAGTTTGTATGCATTAGAAATAAGGGTAAGCACAGTTCTTCCTGATTCTGAGGCCATCTTTCTATCTATTGTGCCACACTGCCTTGAGATTTCCATTTTACAGATGAGGGAACTGAAACTCCAAGAGACAGTGACTTGCCAATGGAAACACAATAACTAAATGTCACAGGCAAGTTTGGAGCCTAGTTATCTCCTGACTCCAGCTCTAGGGCTCTTCCCACTCTACCACACTGAAGCAGCTACTGTCATAGGGCTGGACATGTGGGCAGCTAGGTTACTGTCTGAAGAAGAAGCTGAGTTCAAATCTGGCCTCATACACTTACTAGCTGTGTGACCCTAGGTAAGTCACTTAACCTCTGTTTGCCTCAGTGTCCTCAACCATAAAATGGGGATAATAACAGCACCTGCCTTCCAGCGTTGTAGTGAGGATCTAATGAGATAACAATTTGTAAGCTCTTAGCACAGTGCCTAGTACGTTGGTAACTGCTGCATAAATGTTAGCTATTATATAAACATGCAGATGTCCTCACAATCAAGTGCAGCAAATTGAGACAATTCTTTGTCTAACTCAAAGACCCAATGCCCTGTTATTTGCACTGGTACCAAATGAGGGGATGCAGGATGAACCAGATGTAAAAGCACTATTTCTGACGGCAGAGGACCTGGGTCCAAATACTGGCTCTGACATTTACTATTTATGCTACTGTGGGCAGCTCTCTTAACCTCTCTGGCCTCAGTTTCCTTATCTGCAAAGTGAGGGGCTTGGACCAGATGGTGTTAAAGTCCCTTCCAACTTTACAGCTGTGACTCTATGACTGCATCACAATCTGAACCCCAAGCCTTGTCTCTCACTGGTCTTCTCAGACCTTGTGATTTCGGTGCATCTGCTTCAGGTCATGGCTCCCATCTCTGGCCCTTTAGGCTCCAAAACTAGTCACGGCTCTTGATCCTGTCCTGTTCCCACTGAGATACTGCCCCCTAACAAGGCAGGCAACTCCCTCCCTATCTCTCTCCCCCCACTAATCCAACCCATTCTCTCAAAACTGAGGAACTTCAGTCCATCAGCCCCACAGAACCTGCTTAACCACGAAGGCTCCAGACGAAGCCTTACCCAGGTTGCGGCAGGGGGACCTGCATGGCTTTGCCTTACTGCCATGGGAATGTTGAATGACATTGAATCCAACTGGAGAGAGGCATCAGGAAAGCATCCCTGGTGCCTGCTAGCACTATCCAGAAGTCCCTCACCAAAGAAACATCAGACAAAAGTCTCTCTTAAGCCCCAAGGAAACCAGCTGAGTATGTGGCAGTGAGACCCAGACAATGCTGAGGGCCAGCCTCATAAGAGAGAGCTCTTTTGGCAGAGTACTTGAAGAAAAGTCTCCCCTGAGGTGCCTTGGTGAGGATGGCTGGAGCTTGGTGAGGTCCCAGGGCACCATCTTGCAGCTCACTGTAGGGCAGAGTTCCGCCAGTGAGTCATTTGGTCCGCTCCCTCGGGTGGCCACCTCCCTTGCCCTCTGTCTTCAGAAAGCTCCCTCACTGGTCACTGCCAAGCAACTGGATGCTCTCCTACACCCTTGATTTAAAATAACTATGCAGATGGAGTGTGGCACCCAAAATGACGGCAAGAGAAAAACTATTTTCTAACCCCCAGCTGGACTGCTCTTAATGAAGAGCTCTTTAGAAAGCCAGATGAGAACATGTGCGAAGTCCATCCTATAGACAAGAGCCAAATGACATTTTGGTAGAGGAGGCAGCATTCAGAAAATAATTTAAAAATATGGTCAGTCACTTACTAATGAATATCTATCTGACTATTAATGACGCCTGCAGGAGAATGGTTATGGCCACAGCCCCACCAGTCCCACCTTCCCCAGAGCAGCAATGGGATAGAAGGAAGAGCACATTGAACTTGGGAGGCAGGGGAACCTGGGTTTGAATCCTAGCTCTGGCATTTATTAGCTGAGGGATCCTGAGGCTGTCACTGTTTGAGCCTCAGTTTCCTGATCTGTGAAGTATAAGATTTAGAGCTGGAAAGGATCACAGACAGGACTACCTCAAAACACAGCTGAACAAGAATCCACTCTACATAGAAAGCGGTCATCCGGCTTTTGCTTGAAGACCACCAGTGAGAAGGAACTTGCTACCTCCCAAGGCAACTCAATCCAGCCTGGGATGGCTGTAATTGTTAGGAGCTATCACTTTCTTCCATTGCCCCTAATTCTACTCTCTCCCCCTTAGAATGTAAGCTCTTTCCCAGTTGGGATTGTTTCATTCTTTGGACTCGTATCCTCAGCATCTAGCCCAGCACTCCTTAAAGGCATGTTGTCTGATTGTAGCTAAGGAGACCAAGTCTAATCCCTCCTATTTCATACTCAGCCATCAGATCCTGCCCTAAGTCACAGGATCAAAGATTTGAAGTTGGAAGGGGATTCACAGGTCTTCTGATTCAACTCTTCCTTTTCATAGATGGAGAAACTGAGGCCATAGAGGTTAAATGACTTACAAAGTCATAAGATCATAGATCAGGAACTAGAAGAGACATCAGGGCTCAGAAAATCACAGATTATTATAATACTTTTTAAGAATAGGTAGCATTTACATACAGTAATACCATGTGCTAGTGATGCTTTTATATATTTATATAGTGCTTGCTATGTGCTTAGTACTTTACAATTATTATCTCATTTGATTCTTGCAATAGCCCTGGGAGGTAGGTGCTATTATTACTCCCATTTTACAGATGAGGAAACTGACGGAAATAGAGGTCAAGTGACTTGCCCAGGGTCACACAGCTAATAAGTGTCTGAGTACACAGTCTCCTCTGTGCACTATGGTATCCTCAAGCTTCCTAAAAAGATAGAAAGGACCTAAGAAGTCCTCTAGTCCTACTCCCTCATTTTTCAGATAAGGAAACTGAGGCCCAGGATTGCCCAAAGTCACAGGTAGGACTTGAACCCAAGTCCTCTGATTTAGAAGCCAATGCTCTTTCCATTATACACTGCAACCTTTTATCCAGGGGGCCAGACGTCCTCTGAAAAATAATCTGCTGTAAAATTCCCATTTTACAGAGTAGTAAGCTAAGGCCCAGATAAGCAAAGGACTAGCCAAAATATTTTAAAAGAGTATGCTAATGGTAATTTACATTTATATAGCATTTTCATGTCTATACAATGCTTTCTGCCTGAGGTAGTATTTATCTCCATTTTACAGATGGAAAAAGTGAGGTTTTGAACACCTTACTTGCCTATTATGACCTAGTTAGCAGTGTGATGCAGAATTTGAACCCAGCATCTCCTGACTTTGAATCCAGTTTCTCTCCACTCTGCTCCATCATACAAAGTCTTGACTGTACCAGCCTCAGGCGGACTGACTAGTAACTTGGTTAACTTAACAAAATAGCTTTCCCTCTCAAGCCTGGCAGCAGAAAGGGTTTTTCTCACGTCAAGATGATTCTTTGATTCACTTCCTTGGATGAAAAAAAATTTCCCCCTTAGGTTGGTAGAATGTGACAGAGAGGCAGCTAAATATTGCCATAGTACACAGAACACTGGGTCTGGAGTTAGGAAGATCTGAGTTCAAATCCTACCTCAGACACTCACTAGCTGTGTGACTTTGGGCAAGCCTCTTAACTTTTTGCTTCAGTTTCCTCAACTGTAAAATGGGGATAATAACAGCACCTAACTCCTAGGGTTGTGGGACTCAAGTGAGATAATATTTGCAAAGTGCCTGACACATTGCAGGCCCCATATAAATGTGAGTTATTAGTATTACAAAGACCAGACTTTACCTTTGACCATATCTTGTCATAATTTAGATTGACTAAGTTGAGGGAATTATTGATGATGCTACTGGGGCCCTGAACAAGTTGCTTAGGCTCTCTAGATCTCAGATTCCTGGCTTATAAAAGAAGGGAATTCAAAGAGATGTTCTGTAAGGTTTTTGCTGCTTCTAAGCCCATATGACTCCCTGACTTTTGAAAAGCAGCCTGGGCAAATATATCCCCAGGATGTCAGGCCAGTGGGCAGTTTCTGAGGGCTCGGATCACTGCTGGCTCTTCACCCCTCTTCCTGTCCTCTTCCTCAGAAATTAACATGGAAATTATTTCAGAGAAGAGGCATCATTCCCGTTGGCTTTGCCACTGCACCCTAAGGAGTAGGGGGCTTGGTGAGGTTAGGGACTGGGGGGGTGGCTTTCCATCTGACTTGGGGGCTGACACCTCCTATATGTACTATCTCCTCTGTTAGAATGGGAACTTCTCATGAGCAGACATTTGTATCCCCAATGCTTTACACACAGCCAGTGCTTAATAAATGCTCATTTATTCATTTTCCCTTTCCCCTCCTAGAAAAGCACAAGAATTGCAAGTGGTGGAATGGAAACAGTACCAGATTGGCAGGCAGCAGACAGGTTCACGCACCCTGACTCTAACACTGACCATGGATAAGCATGTTCTGCAACTTCTCTGATCCTCCATTTCTTAATCTTTAAAATGGGAATAATGATACTTTCCCACTGCCTACCTGGCAGGGTTGGTGTGAGGGAAGAGCTCCATGAATTCATTTTTGTTATTATTAATCTTCCCACCTTCCCCATTCCCCCTCCCCTCCCCCACCATTGTCTACACTGAGCTGGTTTAGGGAATCTGAATTCACTTACCCATGTAGAAATACTCAGGGGTTTTACCCTCTGAAGATAAATCCTTTACTATGCCTCCAAACCGAAGCCACAGGCCAAAAGCAATGACAGCAGATCCTGCCAGCTGAAAGATAAACAAGACCGTTAGCATCTGCTCCAGCAGGTCTGTGAAGGCAGCTAACGGTGCTGCCTGTGGCATGGAACATCCAGAAATGGATGGGAAGGCCAAGAACATCATCACCACCAAAATCCATAACACTGACCGACGTTCACCATCGGGCTTTAACGTTTATGAAGCGCTTTCCATACATTATCTCATTTGATCTTCATAACAACCTCAGGGGAGAGGTGCTATTTTTATCCCGATTTTGCAGAAGAGGAAACGGGGACAAACAGAAGTCAAGTGACTTACCCAGGGTCACACAGCTAGTAAGTAACTGAGGCCAGATTTAAACTCAGGTTGTAGGATGATAACAGCTCACGTTATTAGAGAGTGCTTTAAAGATTGACAAAGTGCCTTCTACACAACAGCCTTTCAAGGTACACAGTGCAGGTGTTATTATCATAACCATTTTATAAACTCAGCAAACAACTTGCTTGAAGCCTCCAAACCCAGCTCTCTTGAATCCAAATCCAGTTGCTCCATTAAACCATATTGCACACAGAATGTGAAATCTTTTTTTTTGTTTTTCATTAGAAATTATGTAGGGCTGCTAGGTGACACGGTGGATAGAGCACGAGGCCTGGAGTCAGGAAGACTCATCTTTATGAGTTCAGACCTGGCCTCAAATGCTTACTAGCTGCGTGACCCTGACCAAGTCACTTCACCCTGTTTGCCTCAGTTTCCACATCTATGAAATGAGCTAGAGAAGGAAATGGCAAACCATTCCAATATCTTTGCCAAGAAAATTCCAAATGGGGTCAGGAAGAGTCAGATGGGACTGAACAACAACAGGAACTATTTTCCTCTTTTTCTCAAGTCTACTACATTGCTGGCACCTAGAACGTGGCAGGAGCCTTCTCAAATAGACTTGAGTCATTTGTCATGTGGACCCACTTGTGCAGTAAGAAATGTCAGCAGACACTTTCAGAGCCATAGGGTCGCATTGAGAGAAATCATCCCCCAAATCCTGGGGTGTGGAGGTGGGAAGGGGGGAAAAAGACTCACATTTCTAAACTAGAAGAAAACAAATCCATAAAATAGTCACCCCACACCTTCTGAGTCTGTAGTCCCCAATTTGAAAATTTCCTCAGATTTCCCATTCCCCTTTCATCCCCCACACCTTCTTTGCCCCTAGCTACTACTGCCTACTACACTAACTAGTGGTGATGTTGCAGGCAGGGAGATGGCCCAGGCTTATTTTTTTTGGTTGCTATTTTGAGTTTCCATGGAAAGTGAGAAAGGAAAAAATAATTTTCTGAAAAAAAAAAAAAAGGCCTCGTCTGTATGCCGTGTGGCCTGAAGTAGAGTCTGAATTGCTGTCCCAAGCAAAACCTGGGCCGACTGTGCAGCTGGTAGAGTAATCACTTTGCTTCCTTTCTTTCACCAGTCTGAAGCCTTCTGTGAGGCTAAGTTTGAGAAGCTAAAGCTGGAAGTCTTCTTGCCCCCTTAGGGCTTGCCTCTCCAGGACTCCAAGATCTTAAGACCGGGCCAGTGGCCTCACGGCTGCTAGAAGGCATGCCCAGGCCTCCAACAGCCTGCTTGAATTTCAATGTACCCATCAATTAACAGAAATTTATTGGGTACCTACTGTGTGCAAGATGCAGTGGAAAAGCTTCCCAGATGAATAAAAGGCTACCTCCCCCTAAGGTCAGAATTTAAACCTTGCAGTCACACTCACGTAAGGTGAACTATTTGCAAAATCTTGTTCTCTCAAACATACATGAACACATATACTTTCTTTAATAGTGTTTTTCCCAATTACATGTAAAGATAGTTTTCAACATTCATTTTTGTAAAATTTTGAGTTCCAAATTTTTCTCCCTCCCTCCTGTCTCTTCCCAAGACAGCAAGCAATCTGATATAGGTTATACATGTACAATCATGTTAAACTTGATTGTTAATATTTCCACATTAGTCAACACATATACTTTCTGTCTCTCAAACATATATGAACACATACATACATATACTCTCCCTCTCCTCTCCTGTCCCCTCCCTCCTCCTCCCTCCCTCTTTCCCTCTCCTTCCTTCTCTCTCTTCCTCTCTCCTCCCTCCATCCTATCTCTCTTTCTTTCTCTCCTCTCATCCCTCCCTCCCTCCTCTCTCTGCCTCTCTGATCTTTCTGAAATATAAGGCTATTTATACAGATTCAGGAAGTGCCTGGCCTACATTGAATAGAAGTAGAAGTAGATTTCAGTTCAATGTAAAGGGGGATGGGGGGAAACTTTTCTATAACCGTAATAACGAGCTGTCCCAAATGAAATAAGCCTTCTCAGGAAGTAATGGGTTCCCCCTCACCAGAGGCCCTCAGGCAAAGGCTGGATGGATATCCACTGTCAAGGGTGTTGCAGAGGACCTTCCTGCCTGCTTTGACTCCATTTCCTCTGATGTTTTTTCCAACTCTGGAATTCTGTGATCTTTGAGGATTTCTTCCATGTCGGCACCCTCCTCCTCCTCTTTTTCTTTCTCCTCCCTATTTCCCTCCCCCAAGGCCAACCTCAGATCTAAGAAGGTGGCCTAAGAAAAGAAAAGTAATGCTGCTATAGCAAGGAGAAGAAAAGTGAGAAAGGCCAGATCAGGAGGACAGCTCCAGCCACTGGACTCTTCAGCACTGAGCAAAAGGCTAACTGGATAATGAATGTGATGCATAGCTGAAGGAGCACAGCCTGCCTTGCTTTGTAATGTGATTTTTGTGCTTGATAGAATTTGATTTAAAGCATGGCATGGCGTCTTCATGTTCAGTCCGTGAAAAGAGAGGAAAGAACTGAGCCGGAGAGAGCTGGGTTTGGAAGGAGGCAGTAATGGTATTGTGGGTTTTCCCCATGTAAACAGAGGGCTTATCCCCAAGATTTGTACCCTCCCTGGCCAGGACAGCAGGCGACTTCTATGGACGCTATGAGGGAAAAACCTCATGGCCAAAACCAACATATTTTAGCCTGTGGGATTATTTTAAGGAATGACAAAGTTTCAAAAATACAACGCAGAGCTGCTATTGATAGAGTACCAAGTCCAAACCTGCAACCGCGGAGAACCCTGAAGAGGAGGAGGAGGAGGGGGAGGAAGTGACGAGTGCAGGGAGATCCCATCGCGGGCCACATTTTTGGAATCTCTGTATACAAACTCTAATTTATAGCTGTCTGGGATGATTCCACCCAGACGGAACACATTTGTCCACTCTGGCACTGATGTGTTTGATGCAGAGTGGAAAATCAGAAGAGGGGTTGCCGTTTAAAGCCACCGGGCCATGACGAGAGCTCTGCCCTCCCTTACCCACCCCCTGAAACCACAAGGATATCCTCCAGGGTCAAGGCAATGGTGGCTGGAATGAATTTCATCACTGTATGACAGAAGGAACTGGCTTATTGGCGTGACTGTTCGCCAGAGCGCACATGGATACCTTGGGCTGTTCTGATCAGGCCCTTTTAAACTTGTGGCGAGGGACAGGGCTGATGTTCCTTTGACCAGTTCTGTTTTATAGTCATGTAGATATTTTGAGCACCAGCCTTGGAGTTAGGAAGACATGGGTTCAAATCCGGCCTCAGACACTTCCTAGCTATGTGACCCCGGGCAAGCCACTTAATCCTATTTGCCTCAGTTTCCTCATATGTAAAATGAGCTGGAGAAGGAAATGGCAAACCACTCCAGCATCTCTGCCAAGAGCATCCCAAATGGGGTCATGAAGAGTCAGACATGACTGAACAACAAAATCATTCTGATAACTTGGCTTCTGAATATTTTTTATATATTCTTATAGAGGCAGCTAAGTGGCACAGTGGGCCCAGGAAAATCTGAGTTCAAATCCTGCCTCAGACACTCTGGATAAGTCACTTAACTTTTATCTTCCTCAGTTTCCTCATCTGTAAAACGAGGAACCCTATATCCAAGATTCTTGCAAGGATCAAATGAAATAATGTTTGTAAAGCACTTTGTAAACCTTAAAGCACTATCTAAATGCTAGCTATTATTATTATTATACTTTTAAATGAAAAAATATCTTTTAAACATGTCCTGAGCATCAACCGAATGTTGGATGGACGCTGTATGAAGAATAGAACCAGACATGGTTCTGGTGCAGTTAACGTCAATAAATCCACAACCACAATAGGGGAAGAGCCTGTGATTTCACTGGCATGGAGAATTCCTTTTATGGGAGCTTCCTCCATCAATGCAGACCAAAATCTGTCTTTGGCTCAGTAATAAACAAGAACATTTTGAGACCCAAATGAGATAATGGTTGTAAAGAGCTTTGCAAACCTTAAGGCACCATATAAATGCCAGTTATTGTTATTGTTGTTATTATTCTTACTAGCTTCCGGTTGCCAGGCCTCCAGCCTAGTAATGACTCCATTCCTTCTGCTAAACTGCTCAGCTCAAGCAGGACTCACAGAACCTAGAAAGGAGCATCCTGGTAAATGTTTAATAACCCAGCTGGGGTCTTGGGAGGGGATATGTGCGTGCAAAACACTTTTAAATGTAATCTCATTATTAACACTTTCTTAAGTCTAGACAATCAATGAAACAATAAATCCAGCTCTGACTTGTAGCAATGCCGATTTCTGAAATACTCCCCCTGAAAATGTAACAATGAGCCTGCCTCCAGCTCCCTGCTAATAAGAAGTCCTTGGGAGTATCTGGAAATGAACTAAAGTTGTGACTTATTTGGGGTCACACAGCTAGTATCAGAGGTGAGATTTTCACGGGAAAACACATTCAGAGCAGGAAGGGACCTTGGGGCCATCAAGCCCAACACTCATTTTATAGATGAGGGGAAACTGAGGCAAGGATGCCCATTATCAACACTATTATTCATTATTGTTCTAGAAGTGCTAGCTATAGCATTAAAAGAAGACAAAGAAATTGAAGCCCAATACTTTTATTTTATAGATGAAGGGAAACTGAGGCAGACAAAAGTTCAGTGACTCGTCCCAAGTCACACAGCTAGTCTTCCTGACTCTAAGCCA